GGACTCGTCCAGATCAATGCATGGTAGAGGCTACTTAAGTTACATAGGGGTGAAAGGGTTAAACTAGACTTGCCCAATCCTTGATTTGGTAAGGTTCAAGTGTGACTTTCGGGGTGAATGGGTTAATGGTAAAACCAACAATCACAACAAGAAATATCTAAGTTCAGCTTCTGCTATATATATATTAGTATTGACCAAGTACAAAAATGTACTTGCTCCATTCTTGATCTGCTGACTTACAATTTTATGACAATCTACATGTACCGGTATGTTAAACTGATGTTACAATTCACGGCCAATTACTACCACAATCAATCTTGATTTAATGAGGTTATGATCAGGAGGGTACCTATTGTTCTAAAGCGTCAATACAAAGTCTGAGACATGCCCTGCTCATCTGCTTTGTCCTAGTTATACCACTATCAATCCTGGACACAAAAACATAAACCGAATCAAGCCTTTGTGTGCGGAATACTTTTTATAAAGTACATTTATAACCTTTGTGTTTCATCCCACTTTATCTTCACTTTAGATTTTATTTATTTAACAAAAATTATGAACAATATATTTCAACTTATTCTAATCACTCTCGATGTTATTGTGCAGGGTGTCTTAATCTGGGAGGAAACCAGAGTACCTGCAGAAAACCCACTTAGTTGGGCAGGTGACCCCATACCAAAAGAGGTCCCAAGTTTGCATGAACTCATTTAACCCTGAAGACACATTTGAACCCTTCCAATTCAAAGGTTGGAATAGTTCATTATGAAATTTCCGGGGTGAATGGGTTATTGGGGTCAGCAGATCAATTTTGGTCTCTTCCATGTCCTCTTTTTAGTGGACACAATAAAACGTCAACAGAATCAGGGGGCCTCACATTAGTTGCCTTTTTTAGATACACATGCAATGGCCATGGGATACAGCATGTCTCTTCTTCAAGTTTCGTCAATGCCCCCTGATCATGAACTGATGGATGATGAAGACACAGAAAAAAATCCCTATTCTACATTATTCCCACATTACCAGTTGTCTTTTAAGATCGATACACATGCAGCGGGATCTTCAATGTTTCCTGAACTGATCATGACCAAAGACACAGAAGAAAAAACACTCAATTCTGCAGGGGACGTGGACAACAGAGTTCTGTTATAAGTGGGATTAACATATATATGTATGCCAAGCCGTAGCCACATTGTACCAACACTTCCCATGACAACCAGCTGCCATCTGCAACTTCTCAATGCCAGCTATAACCAAAAGCTTCAAGAATTCTTTCAGAATACATGTGTACAAGTGCTCTCACTTTAATTAGATTATATTGTATAGGTTGCTACAGAGGAATCACCCAGCTATTTCGGAACACTGTGATCTACTATGAAAAGGACATGGAATGCTGCAATAAATCTCAACAGTGTTCCCATGCCAGCTAAATACGGCAAAACCTGACATTATACTGCCGATAAATTCTGGCATTATAAAGGGGTTTGGCGATAAATTTAGGGAAACAAATAATTGTAAAGGAATTCTTAAGAAAAAGAGACAAAGGGACCTTGAAACATGTTGGCAGTAAGTGAGGTGGCAAATAAAATGAGCGGCGTTATATCAAGGTTTTACTATATGTAAAAATTAAGCGCCTTTTTTACTTGTTATAATGTACATGTTGTAGCTGAAGCCTTAATTTAGTGCTATTTTTCATCCTTTGACTACCTATGCTAACCAAGGATAGTGCTAATTGATATCCGTAAATTGTCATTAATTGCATATATAGTACATTATATTGTGGGTGTGTCAATTCAGTTCAACAATGTGTTAATCTGTTAAATTGTGATATTACGAGGTAGAATTTGAGTGGGCTAAAATAATTACATTGTACATATCTGTTTACAGCTCTAGTGATGCATAGTGTATACCGGTAGAACAAAAACTAGTATCAGTTCAGCAAGTTAATGTGATAAATTGATAATATTTAATGTACATGCAGTGTGATTTTGGCAGTTATCATAAAAACAATAATAATATACATGAGCCCTATCTAGCTCTATAATAAGCCACTCTAAAGTGCTTTACAGTACATAGATATACAATGAATACAACAACTAGCATATACATTAATCAATACAATGTTTAGGAATTCACAGCTACCTTATCAGGCGCTAACTTATAATAGTCCTATGCCACCTGGCTTAGTTATATAATGTCTGTATTTGCCTGCGTAGTAAGTGCTGGAGATGCATTGTGTTCTGTTTGTAGTGGGACCGTACTTCCAACGGTATCATTTATATAGTGCCACCTCATGATCACTTGAACGCTACAGCACAGATACCGCAACATCCACCCCAGACCATTTTTACAGTAAATACAATAAGCATATTTACATTAATCAATACAATTTTTAGGAATTCGCAGGAGCTGCCTTATCAGGTGCCAATTAACTTATAGTCCTGTGCCACCTGGCTAATAATCTCTGTATGTGTGTTATCATTATGCCTGCGTGAGTGCTGAAGATGTATTGTGTTCTGTTTGTAGTGGGACAGTGCTTCCAATGGTATCATTTATAGTGCCACCTCATATGATCACTTGAACGCTACAGCTTTCTGCAATACATTAATTGGGATTTCAAAATCGTAATGTCCCTTCCCATCACACATGCTTCATATTAACATGGAGTTACTACTTTTAATTATTCGTGGTAATGAAAATTTGCTCCTAGACACAGACATCCACACAGGAATATGAAGTAGTTTGCGTAACTTTATTTTCATTAACCAACAAAACATAATTACATTAGGTTTCCTTCACTTGCAGAGAATAATGTCATCACAATGCAATGATACGAATATGTATACATGCAAGATGACCTTTAATTTTGCCAATTGTTGAACCTTTTTAATTTACGTGTTTTTAGTAGGGCCTTAATAATGGCAATGAAACAATGTTAAAGGGTCCCTGTTCCATTGCCGGCAAAACACTAGAGAATTCCATTGTGGTTTTCTATATATATATATAGTAATTAACTCCCTTTGATTTTGTATTACCCTAAACTTAATTTCAACAGCTGGACCAATTAGGCTCCTTTTATCAGTTGACTAGGTTTAGTTCATTTGGTTATAGAGCAACACATTTGAATTTGAAGTACGTTGTTCCAATCCTGGTCTTAATCCTATCACCACTGTATAGACCATAATCGACTCATCCCCATAAATACATGGTAGTCTCTGACTGCATCATATTTACATGCAGAACATTGTTTTTTATTTTTATTTTTTTTTTCATTTTAGTATTTTATAATAAATGTATGGCAAGGTATGGTTTTCTTTTCAGAAATGATTTATCAAAAATATAGTCATGCTGGAAAAAAAACACAATATGCAATGCGTAGTTAATTTGACGATGGTACGTACAGGGATCCTTAACCCTTTCACTCCTAGGTATTAACTTAAGTAGACTCTACCATACATTTATTTGGATGAGTCCATTATGGTCTACAGTGGTGAGAGGGTTAAATTGATATATAAACAACTGACTAGACGACAATTATTGACCTTGATAAAGGTCGTGATAGTAAATGTTGAGGTAACTGATCAAACAATAGTTGACCTCGGACAGAGATCATGGTGGTTACGCATACGGAAGCTTGTCAACTGGCTGACCCTAAATAGGTACATGTAGATAGTCATGTTAGTATAGCAAATTATTATCAAACTGGTTAGATATATAATGATGTAATGTGTGTCAATAGGCTAATATATATATACTGATAGTTTCCCTGTTTCTCTTACGTATACCTAGAAAGTTTGTCGAGGAGTCCACATTTCTCAAATGTTGATGATTTTGTTTTTCTACAAGCCTGATTAAATGTAAACATACATAATCTAAGGCCAAACAAAAAAATAAATGTGTTTCGTATATAACATGTTTGAAAAATTTAGGGTAGGTAACAAAAAAATAAATTTATATTTTTTTTTTTATCATATATGGGCCGAGTGATCTTGACTTTACCAGTGCTTCTTTGAAAACTAATATTACCTATATATAGGGTTGGCACAAAAAATTAGGATAAAAGTAGGGGAAACACAAAATATATTTTGTTTGGCCTGAAAATGGAATTTTTGTGTGTTCCCTTTAAAAAAAAAAAGAATGTCACTGTGTGCATATTTTTGTGACGACGATACACTACTACTATTTAGTACTGCATGTTTAAGTGTACTTTTGCTATGATGTAGTATAAATGCAAAAATAACAAAAAACTTGCAAAGACAAAAATGTTCACTTTTACATGTACAGTAAACGCATACTCAGAAGAATATATAACACTAATTTAAAAGTAAGTAAGCATCACTGATGTCCATATACATTTTATTTACAGAGGTGTATAATTTTTCACTTGGAGTACATGCCTGAAGGCACATTTTGAAGAATTTTACAAGCCCACAATATTTTCAGAGTATAAATACTGAAAGTTGGTGCACTTAGTCCTGACATAAAATCTACAAACCGTGGTTGACTAGCATAGTGGAATTGTACATCGTATACCCCTGCATTTCTATACATACAAATCTAGAATTCGCCACGAGCTTAAACCTGACAGTGCAAGTTAAAAAGCTTTCAATTGAGAATTTATTTATTTTTTAAGTTTATTTTTATCTGGTTTTGAGATCTTCTCCATCTCTTCTTCCGACTATCGTTTCTAAGGAAGTGCCGACATTTTAGTTTGTCCTTGCTTGTTAACAAGTACGGGTCTTGCTGGGTATTTTTTCATAAATGTCCCAACTCTAGTTATGGTTTTCTTATATAATTATCGAAATTATTTATCAAAGCTGTAGTCATGTTGGAAAAAACCCAGATCAATGCCTAGTTACAGTTTTTGACAGTAGTAAGAGGATCCTTAACCCTTTCACCCCTATGTAACTTTAGTAGACTCTACCATTCATTGATCTGGATGTCTCTATTATGGTCTACAGTGGTGAAAGGGTTAATATAATGGTAAATGGTTTTTCACTTACCCAGAAATGTGCCAATAAATTAACGTTGATGGTTTTCTCTATCTGATGGTCGGGAATATCAATAAGTTTTTTCCCACTAACAACGCCCGCATTGTTCACCAAAATAGTCACATCACCAACTTCTTGTTTTACCCGTTTGGCCGTTCTATAAACATCATCTCGATTTCTGCAACAAAAGAATTACAATTTAAATCTGTATTCATATACATGTACTGTACATGGCTAAAAGGACTAACAAAAGGTACAGAAGGCCTGTATCACTCACCTAGATATTTTAAGCAATCAAAGCAAAAATTTCTCATTTGTAGTAATATTACAAAACCCCATTTTTTGGCTATTCCTTTCATCAGTACCAAAGGGGGACACATACCCTTCTTCTACCTAACATCTGATTTCCTGATCCCAAGGATGCTTCATAGGATATCTGATTGAAATATAATTTTAAAACTGGTCTGGCAAGACGAAAGGACAGTTTAACGTTTAACACCTAATCCCCCCTTTTGGAAAATTGGCCATCATGTCCCCAGGGGAGCTACACTCCTCCTTTATATAAATTATCTGACAATTCATTCAAAGGTCCAAAGAATCATATTAACAAGAGTACCGCGGAGCGGAACAAAATACGCCCGTCGAATGCCATATAGTGTTATATACTTTCTTACATTGAAATAAGATCTGCATCATTTTAAGAGTGGTTAGCTGATCAAATGCTATAAAAAATGTAGGAGAAAATCTTCAGACAAAAAATCAAATACTGAAATGAACAAAAGCCAGTACATTTTACAAAATTCGTCGAATCAATTTTTTTTTTACGGGAGACACAACTTCATATCATGATTATAAAGTATACCAAGTTTCAAAGAGATCGGTCAAAAAATGTAGGAGGAGATTTCCGGACAAAAAATCAAATACTGAAATGAACAAAGGGCAATTACTTTTGGAAAATTTGTTGAATCAATTTTTTTTTAAGGGAGACATACCTTGATATCATGATTATAATGTATCCCAAGTTTCAAAGAGATCCGTTGAAAAATGTAGGAGGAGATTGTCGGACAAAAATCAAATACTGAAATGAACAAAGGGCAATTACTTTTGGAAAATTTGTTGAATCAATTTTTTTTTAAGGGAGACATAACTTGATATCATGATTATAATGTATACCAAGTTTCAAATAGATCGGTCGAAAAATGTAGGAGGAGATCTCCGGACAAAATTCAAATACTGAAATGAACATGGGGCAATAACTTTTGGAAAAATTGTTGAATCAAAAATCTTTTAAGGGAGACACAACTTCATATCATGATTATATTGTATACCAAGTTTCAAATAGATCAGTCGAAAAATGTAGGAGTAGATTACCGGACAAACAAAGTTTACGCCGGACGGACAACGCCATACCATAATACTACTCAAATTTGACGGTCGTATAAAAACTCAACAAAATCAATAGCCATATATCTTGATCATTTAGCACCAGTTCTGACCAAGAAAAAACAAATAATGATTTAAAATGTAGAGTTCTTGAACATGCAAGAAATGAGTATGAAACCCTTCCTTTTAATTAATTTGAAAAGACCACATCTGAAATGAAAAGATATAGTAGTGATATCATAAGTCATGCCAAATGACCAATGGATACTTATTTATAAATATTAACGACTAGTTAAAAGAATAATAACACAGGTAACACAGTTGTATGATATTATAATGTTGCTTATATTAACCCTTTCACCCCTATGTAACTTTAGTAGACTCTACCATGCATTGATATGGATGGATCCATTATGGTCTACAGTGGTGAAAGGGTTAATTATATATATATATATGAATTGTAATAGGGGTTCCTCTAGAAGGACGCTCTACCAAATTGAGCTACGTACGCATACATGTATCTGGTCGGTGACAATCGACCCAGTCCAGTTCCGCTACATTCCTCCCTCTTTTTTTAAGTTTTAGCCCTCAAAGACACAACTATTTACAACTTATGCCAGGTTGTATCCCATTGTCATACATTCACCCTAGGCGTACTTGAAACAAGGGTTGGTCAAAGGCACCAAATGTAATAGGAGTTAAAACATACTCTGGGAGTTTAAACCCTGGACCCTCCGAACTCTTAGACAGATGCTCTACCAATCGAGCTCTCTGATTCTGGACGCTAACGATCGACCCTGCAGTCCAGTTCCGCTGCATAATTATACATTAAATTTTGTCAAAAACAAGCAACTGTCTATTAAAAGTACCACATAATCAAATTTCTGACACCTTATGATATCTTTACAACTTCAGATTCTGTATCTCAGAATTTTAATTTGACTTCCAAGATTCCAACGTTAACATTTCATGAGGGTCACAAACTTTTGATTTCATTCCTGTATTGAAACAGAGGTATATATCTGAGAGAAAAACATGGTTATTATGGTTAATATTCAGTACTTTAATCATATTATCATATTTGTGCCTGGACTGGCTGTACTTATTATTAGCTGGCATGCAATTAATTAGGGGTACAGTCGTTTCGGTACACGGTAGTTTCGGTACTTCAAAAATAAGAAGTTTCGGTACTTTTTGTAAGTAGTTTCGGTACTTCAACGATTTTTTCGGTACTTCGTTTTTTAGTTCATAAATATTTCTCATTTGTCATTTATTGTTGGTTGTTTATTTTCGGTACTTCGTTTATTAGTTGATAATTATTATTTATTGTTGGTTGGTTATTTAACGTTTGCTTTCGTAGTTGTTAAAACAATCAAGCAGATCAGTCAATCATTGTTTTCAAACTTCAAATGTGATCCCGCAACATACGCGATGGTTCTTTATTTAACGTTTGCTTTTTTAACTGAGCAGCTGAGTAGATCGTAGTAGCTCAACGTTGAGGGAATTCACCAACTTGTCATAAAAATGACAGTTATATATATGTCCCGCTATACTTAGAAATTATTGAAATATGAATTAAACATGTTATATATATGTCCCGCTATACTTAGAAATTATTGAAATATGAATTAAACATGTTATATATATGTCCCGTTATACTTAGAAATTATTGAAATATGAATTAAACATGTTATATATATGTCCCGTTATACTTAGAAATTATTGAAATATGAATTAAACATGTTATATATATGTCCCGCTATACTTAGAAATTATTGAAATATGAATTAAACATGTTATATATATGTCCCGTTATACTTAGAAATTATTGAAATATGAATTAAACATGTTATATATATGTCCCGTTATACTTAGAAATTATTAAAATATGAATTAAACATGTTATATATATGTCCCGTTATACTTAGAAATTATTAAAATATGAATTAAACATGTTATATATATGTCCCGTTATACTTAGCTAATAATTAGGGATTTCCATTTCGGATGGAAATACCTATTGTTATTATGTGTTTTAGTATTATTATTATTCTTAATTAATTATTATCAGAGACGTATACTACATTATACGTCTCTGTTATTATTAATACATTATATATATGTCCCGTTATACTTAGAAATTATTGAATATTGAAATATGAATTAAACATGTTATGTATATATGTCCTGCTATACTTAGCTAATTATTAATTAAACATGTTATATATATAAAATTATTCATCAATGTAATAATATTAATCTTGTTTGGTTTTGGTATTCATGATTCATGACGTGTAAAAAAAACTTATGTCACTGACATATTAGATATCAAGTTCGTGCTTATATCAAATATACATGGACTGTATCAAAACAAGCAAAGACCACTTCAAAAAATCTATCAAAGAAAAATATTAGAAACATGAGCAAATCAAAATAACAAACTGATACAAACGCGTGTATTATAGCACAAGTTTGACTTAGAGTTACTTCCCTTGAAGGTATACAGCACGCAAAAAGTGGTGACGTTGACTAAAACTTGGTACCAAAGTGTGTTTTCCATAAGTACCTAAACGATTTTCAGAAGTACCGAAACAACTTTCTGAAGTACCGAAACGACTTTCAGAAATACTGAAACGACCAAGTACCTAAACGACCTGAATTCAATTAATTATGTATCTTAGATCTGGAGTTTCTGTTCTTTAGTTTCATATCTGCTTTTTGAGGATGAATTTGTTGCACTTTGAAGATATATTTCATTTCGGACACAAGATTTGATTCGTGATTTCAAACAATATCGTTAAAATGGATTTTATAATACAATATTTATTATAAATTATTTTTATTAATTCACAAATTCGAATATAAGATATTATAACAAAAAAGTATGATTTAAAATAAATAAATAAAATAAATAGAAATATTTCTTAATTATTGATTGCAGTTTATTGTTCTGTATTGCAAAATTCCAATACAGTAAAAGTTTCCAGTCAAGAGGAGAGTTCTTATAATCGTACACGACATGTACAATGCTTCATGTGTGTTTCACAGATCACATGCATGGGAGGGTTGACAGGTCAATTTGTTCTACACTGATATTCTGACATGACATGCGAGTACAACAGCGTGACATTTGTGAACAATTCATTTAGCCTCTAGCCAAACATTTTGGTACAATCCTCCACCTGCCAAATGTCGCAGCTACAGCTTCAATAAGATAGAACTCGAAAACTTACCCAACATCGCAAATGTAACAATAACATTTCGCACCAGCTTGTCGAACTAAATCTGCTGTCTCTAAGTTTGTATTTTCCTGAATATCCCAAAGCACCAGAATTGCTCCAAGTTTCGCAAATTCTTCTGCTAATTGTCTGCCGATCCCAGACCCGCTACCTGTGATGAGTACGATTTCATTTTTTACACATTTCCTTGGCGGCGAAATGAAAAACCTCCATGTACTGACAAGTAACGCCACAACCACATCTTTCATGCATGTCATTAAATCCTTTAGAATACTCAGAACAGTTTCCGATTCAAAACTGTCGTCTGCTGTAGAATCCATTTTCGCTGCTTTCCTCTCCATCGTCGCGACTGAACTGTCAGGTCAAAGCACCTGTCATGCTGTAGCCATCAAGTCAGCGTGACCTATCACCTTTAACCCTAAAATCCTGTGGTTCGCTAATAACATTAAAAACAAAACGAATATCTTAGTACTTATGTATTTTATCTTTTAGTTGCATTTTAATTTAATAATAATGACTTTTGTTGATATAAAATAAAAATGAAATATCCACAAGATAATAATGCTTTTCTTGTACCGGAAGTTAGAGCGTTAAAAGACTTAAGCGGCCTTTTCAATAGGCCAACATGGCGGAAACGTATGTGTATTTACCCTTAGTATTTTAAATCCGATATCATCCATGCTAAAACATCAAATCGACAATTTCTAAGTTCTGCCAATAATGTCCCAATGTCTAAACGACCTACATAACTAATAATTTACGACAAAAATGTTGTGATTGTACTACAATCATCATTATTTTGAGCGTGATATCAACATGGCGAAGTTTACTCTGAAATGTTGCAATTTGGTTACTGAATGCCTAGCTTGAATTTTCTCTGGCCCCGTCACCAGACTTTAGACATTTTCACAGATAGATGTCGATGTAGGATTAGTGCAAACTGCTGTAGCAAAACGTTGAAGTCTCTTAAACCGTTTGTTGTCATGAAAAAACCCCGTACCATTCATGCATCTAGCTGCCAGGTTTCAGATATACTCCTCTCACAGATATCGATAAGTAAGCCCTCTTATATATTTATCTGTCAACGTTTGAAAGTTCTAGTGTGGGGACAAGAAAAAGTATTTACTAGTTGTTGGCTTGCTCTCTATTTTGCCATAAACAGTCCTATTGTGCGAGTTTTAATGCTAGACACAATGTACACCGAGTTTCTGACCACTTATCTTCAAAATTACTCTCAGTATTGTTACCATCTACCCATATACTTAAGGTGGATGCTTTCCTGCCCATCATCACATTTTCTTATTTCCTTTTGTACAGTATCCAGCGCATGGCATGTAATTAAGAGTTTCAACAATATGCCATTATTTATAGTTATCACTAAGAAGTCGAACAACAGTAACTCGGAAATGGTATTGATGTCTTCGAAATGTTCTGATTAAATAGGACATTGAATTTTAAGACTTTAGTCTTAATTATTTACTGTAGCGTACATTAGTCTTGGATTATTTACTGTAGCATTCATGGTGTGAAGACTAGGGAACAAATACTGATGTCAGCTTGGTCATGTCCACCCATTATTTCAATGTGCACATTTATAACCATAACCGGATTCAACTTGTTTGTCAGATATTGAAGTGCCCTGTACTAAGTACGCTCTCGCCAGCTCATATACAATTGTTGGATCCAATTCTTGAGACTATGTATACAATGGACATTACCCATTCTAACATGAAATCTATTCTCATTGTAGAAAAAAGAAGGTTCCGCAGGTGCCAGAAACCCTCTTGAAAAAGAGGAAGAGGAACGAGGAAGTCCGTGCCAAGAGGGCCAAGGCTGCTATTCTCAGCAAAAAGGTCAGTTTTCATTCTTACCACTCCCTAATCCAGTTCCAGATATTCAAGAGTGTAATTTCATGTTTCAAGTCATTGATTAATCAATTTGAAAAGTTGAAGAACTTAAAAACTCTAGCCTACAACAGTAACTTTTGTCAATCTATAATTGATCAACATTGTCTTTAGTAATATGACAGTTGCATTAATTTTTGTGCAATATTGATCCGTAGTTCAAGGAGATCATTTCAAATGCATTCAATTTCTTTCCAGAAAACTGCTTCGAGGAAACAGACCATCTTTAAGAGAGCCGAAAAATATATCAAAGAATACCGGTCCATGGATAGGGAAACCATTCGCCTACATAGACAAGCAAGGGCAAATGACAACTTCTATGTTCCAGATGAGCCAAAGCTGGCATTCGTAATGAGAATCAGAGGGTACAGTTTGATTAATATTAGTACGAAAAACAAATAAAACAAGAGTTCATCCCATTTCCTACTAGTGATAAAGCCTTTTAAGAAAGAAATTTGGGTTCCTTTTAACTTTTTTGCCTAATATTTTAATGTGGCAGCTGGATACAAACATAGTGAGTGGAACTTTTCACTTCAAAAGTGGCCTTGTGCCATCTTTTGACTGCAACCTTTGACACAGTTCATACAAACAGAGTCTACTTACCTTGCGCTTTTTCATTGATTTTTGGGACACCACTATTTCCAACATATTGGTTCATGCTTTTCCATTGGGACTTGTCAACATTGTGGGAAAAAAATCTTTCCTGGAGGGGGAGTATGTCACCCTGGTAAAATATTTGCCGGTTACTACTGACTCTGCTAGGGAGAATTTCTCTTTAGCTCATTTGTTAGAACGCAAGACTAGTAAGCCAGAGGTCCTGGGTTCGACTCCTACTAGAGGCATTGCAAAAATAATGGCCTCTGTTGCATAAAGTTCAGGAAATGCCTGAAAATTTCCAGCCAAAATCCCTATTACCTGCTTATTAATTCACTTTTACTAGGCGACAAATTTCATGTTCATTAATTTGCTTTACCCCGAGAACATTATCTTAATACCAGATATTCAATTTTACAGTATCAACGGCGTCCATCCCCGACCCAGGAAGGTGATGCAGTTGTTCCGTTTGAGACAGATCAACAATGGTGTGTTCATTCGTATGAACAAAGCCACCATCAACATGCTTAGAATCGCTGAGCCATTCATCACGTGGGGGTAAGTGTTGGGGGTCTATAGGTATAGGTATCCAAAACAAACACAAATTTGGATGACCGATATGAGCTATGTAAGGGGAAGTTTTTAAAGTCTGACTGTATGCTGGCAAAACAACTCTTTACATGGAGCAAGTATGTAGTGATGAACAATCAGTTTAATATTGTAATCAGTATTTAAAGTAATTGATGAACAATTGCGTAATGGGTTTATTTATACATCAGGTCTTGTTCTTTTATACTATCAGGTCGGGGAAAACCACTAACTTGTGTATAATATGCAAACTCGCCTATTATATACGCCAATAGGGGTATGAATTTGTTACTAAAAATAGCCAAAATCACCGTAATCTAACTTTTTCAAATTGTTTGTCCAAGACGCATTTATTCAGTCATGAAACATAAAATGCAAAAATAAACTTTATTTGTGGGAAAGTACCAAAAATAGATGCAATACTTCCGGTAAAGTTACATCAAGTTTTTAAGTAGCCAACGCTTTCAGTAAACATCTTTTAGCAAAATATTATTTACCTTGTCGTAAATTAATGCGATTTTTAAAAATATCTTGCAAAAGTTACTGTTTTGGGTTATTTTTAGTAACAAATCCATACTCCAACTGGCGTAAAATAGGCGAGTGCCTATTATGTGCAAGTTGGTGGTTTTTCCCAACCTGACTATAGAATGGTTTATAAGCAGCTTTTATCTAGTTCAGATTTTTTGTCAAATGCATACACTGTAAAGCATGCACTGAAAATCGATTATGATTTATTCTGTGATTTTTATTGTACAATTGATGGTTATCATCAATGATGCAATAAAAAATCACAAAATAAATCATAAATGATTTTCAGTGCATGCTTTACATTGTGTGCATTTGACACTTTTAGTTCAGTAATGAACTGATGATTATATATATATAGATTATGTAATCGATCATTGGAATTGGAACAAGCAAACTAATTGATTTTCTATTAAGATCACACATCGGCCCATCAATTAAGGCAAGATTTAAAAGCATGTGTTAATGTGTTATATATATAGGCCTATGGTCATGCTCTTTAATAAGACAGTGCTTGATTGATGAAGATGTGGCTGATTAATTCCATATAGTTTTGTTCATCTACATGATTATTACCAAATGTCTTCTTAATCAAACTGATGACTCAATTTCGTTATGATGGATGAACAAAATTATTGCTTTCTGGATATTATACACATTTTCTCAAATCTAGACTTCAAATCATCTATTCCTATTTTTCTGAAAATCCATCAATGGTGTTGTACAATGAAAAGTATTCATTCTTTTTTTGCAAGTTTGAATTGACTTCAGTTACTTTCCCTGCAATTTGAAAACATTTTGCTTTTCCTAATGAATAAAGTCATTCAACATACTTAGAACTGTTCATCATGTGAGGACAAGTACATAGAAGGTCCAAAAAAGGTGTTCACAGTGTGTGCCAAACTCCGTCACACGGTCGGTCATGATCATGTCCAACAAAAATCACCTTGGGCCAGCAAAATATTTCAGTTACCTGCGCCCATGTCCAATAAATATATCTTGCCAAATTAGATAAAATGTTAAAAAAAACATGTTCAGGATCATTCTTCTTCACACCTTGTTTGGAAGATTTGAGTGGTTTACACTAGAACATAAATAATACTGTCTTTAATATTTCAAAGTATATGTTTAAATCGTAGGTAAAACAATGTTGTTTTGTAAAGAGTCTTATCAACTACTTGTATAAATATTGTTCATCTGCATGATTATTACCAAATGTCTTCTTAATCAAACTGATGACTCAATTTCGTTATGATGGATGAACAGAAATATCGATCCGACTTATACAAGTATTCAGGATTACTTTAAAGACACTATATGCATTTTCTCAAGATCAATACTTCACGAAGAATTTCAAGAATTGCTGCTAATAAAGCATCTTTCTAAGGCAATCAATAATGGTGTTGATTATATGCATGTTTTTGCTCATGTTTGTAAGGTGGAATTATTTTCCCTTTGGTTTAAGAAGAAACGTTTTCTTAATATTTGCACAGAAAGAGTTTAAAAAGAAACATTTTCTTAATATTTGCACAGAAGGCAATACGAGAGAAGCATATTTTGATAAAACAAAATATATTTTGGGAAATGACTAATATAGGCTTTGTCTGTCTGATCCAGTTTTTGTAACGATAAGATATGGGTCTAAAAGTAGCAGATTGTTGAAATTTCTGCAGTATTGGTCCTGCCCCTCAAACTCTAGGGGTCAGATCCATAAAATTCACACTTTTGATATGGTTTTGACCATAAAACCTTCCTGCAAAATTTTATTTAATTTGATTCGTTGGCTTTTGAGAAGATGAAAAATGTGAATTGTTTATCAATCAATGCATAGCAGACATTGTGTATTATTGTTTGTAACAATAAGATCTTGTATTAATTTTGAGCAAAAAATTGTACAAAAGTTATAATTTATTTCTTACCCAGTAATTGGATCATTTGATGTTACGAGACAGCTGTTATATCCTATATAATGCACATTTCAGGTACCCCAACTTGAAGAGTGTGAAGGACTTGATCTACAAGCGTGGATATGCTAAGGTCGACGGCAGAAGGATCCCACTTACCGACAATGCTATCATTGAGAAGAGTTTAGGTAAGCAGTGTCAGGTGGCGACATATGACAGTAACTCCTATCATTTGTGATGCATATTCTGTTTTCTGCTCGGCATGTCCCTACTGGAGCGTGATCTGTATCTGTATGATCCATTGTCTCATCATGAAGCAATTTTTATGCCCCCGCCATATAGTGCTGCCCATGTCTGTCCCTTCCCATCCCATCCATGAGTAGACATTTTTGCTCATCTCGCCCGAAGGGCCAAGTGAGCTTATGCCATCGTCAATATTTGACTTTTAAACAACTTCTCAATAAACAAAAGGTCCAGGGTACTGATATTGGGCCTGTAGCATTCTGGGATGAAGGGCTACCGAGTTTGTTGATATGAATGACCTTGACCAACTTTCAAAGTCGCAGGGGTCAAATGTCTGGAAATCTTCAAACGACTTCTTCTCAATAACCAAAAGGTCCAGGGTACTGATATTGGGCCTGTAGCTTGCTGGGATGAAGGGCTACCAAGTTTGTTCAAATGAATGACCTTGACCCACTTTCGACCTAATGTCCTTGTTCGACATTCAAGGACACAGGCTTCATGTTTAAATCTTTTAATAGGTTCTTGGGAATCAAGCACTGATATTCTGCCTGTAGCTGTATTTTAGTCCACTTTTAAGATTACAAGTGTGAGATTAATACCAGGTGAGCGATGCAGGCCCATTGGGGCTCTTGTCTAGTTTACCTTCAAGTTTGTAACGCTATTTGTAGAGAAGTATATGACAGATCTTTCATGTTTCATAAAAAGGCCCCACATGGACTGTTAGCTGTATATGTTTCATGTTTAAGACTGTTAATTTCAATTTGGACATTTCAAGGTTAGTTAACAGAACGTTGTGTGCTTATGCTTCTCTATATGAGCATGGTATTTGTAGTTGATTCCAGGTTTTGAACAGGCCTAAAAAAGAGGATTATCCTCAGCAGCACTAAAATTGAAGAAAAGGCTAAAAGCCTCTAATCTAATAATAAACGCCTTAAAAGGGGTCAAAGTAAAATAATCACATAGCTATGGTTGTGTATTAAATTTGGTGTTTTTGTGAAAATGCAAGAAAATTAAACATCTATTACGCGTCGATTTTCGATTTTCGATTTAACTATCAGTTTTAAATTTTAGGGTTGTTTTAGTGCTTGTATGATGAGTTAAGAGGTATCTAAGTTACACTTTCGCATTGCTGTATTTTAATTGAGTTTACAAATGGCGGCAATATTTTTTCCTGGTAGAGGTCCTAAATTGCCCTCAAAAAGCCTTGAATTTCATTGTAAAATCCCTATGTGAGCCTGGATTTGTGTGTCTGTAACTTTTAGATGTATACTAGTCTTGATTCTGTGATTTCCAGGTCAGTTCGGAATCATCTGTATCGAGGATCTGATTCACGAGATCTACACGGTCGGACCCAACTTCAAGGCTGCCTCTAACTTCTTGTGGCACTTCAAGATGAACACGCCCACTGGAGGCTGGAGGAGGAAGTACAACCATTACAATGATGGTGGAGATTTTGGCTGTCGCGACACCCAGATTAACCCACTGCTCCGGAGGATGATCTAGATGTGTGGTATAGGACTGGTCTTATCTAAGTGGCTGAAACGTTAACTTAATAAAGTCACCTGTGATGGGAATACAATGTCTGATCTTTGTGTTTTGTAGTAGTTGTGTCCTAGTTTCACAATCATAAGGGCTGTTCCATAATAAATGGTTCTGGAAAGATGGGAGGCACTTGTTTCTTATTTATATAATATGGGTTGTGGGGTTAAAGGCAGATATGTCAACAGTACCATTCCTTATCTTAAGTCATTTTATGTATTTTGATAGGTTCTGAAAAAATGCCTCCCAAACCCTCCAATACAGTTAATTCTTGAACAGCTTTATCAAATTTTAACAACTGTGAAATGTTCAATGGATATAGAATAATTGTTATTTAATAACAAAAGGGATTGAAATGCACCTTGGTTTGTTTGGTACATTTATGATTTCATTTGTAAACATGAATGTGGATAAGGCCCAAAAAAAAAAGTCTGTTGCATGTGTTCTGTGTGGTCATGTGATTATGACCCTACTATTGTATGTAAAACAAAGAATTACATAAACATGGCTCATTTTGAGGCAAATTATGCGTCATTTTGAAAGGCAAGGAACAATTTATTTATTTTTCATTGCAAAGTTTTGGGTCGGGGGGGTAAAAAGCTAGGGTCGGTCGGGAACCCTAAACAGCATATTTTTTTGTTTGGCCAGATATGTAATCAAATGGGACAGATAATCAAATTAGAGTTATCAAGTATATTGGGAATAATTTATGGACCAGGTAATATGTTTCTACTGTTGTGCTAATATTTTGACCTGTATTGTAATCATGAATACTTAGGTTTGCAATCGCATTAAGCCTTTAACCACGGTAAAGACCATAAAGGACTCGACCATATCAATGCATGGTAAAGTTATGAGGGGCGAAAGGGTTAATTATGATAACATTTGATAAGTTTCAACAGTAATTGGGGTTAGTTAAATGAATATTAAATCATGTTTCTAGTCATAGTCTCCCAAAACGAGGTTAAGAAATGTAGTTCACTTCCTGTTTTTTGTGCCTCAGTACAAAACATGATGTTATTATTTTTGCATCTGATTGCAATCATTAAGTTTGCCCTGTATCGGGATAGTTTCATTACAGTAGCTAGACGCTGATAATCCTGAGATAGGTGTACAGCACGGTGGGTGACTTTGGATTGACTTACAATACTTGGCCTTGTTTAGATGAACATAACGTATCTAAGTGATAGCGTCTTGATTTTGGACGATTGAGTGTGCAAAAAAGAATAACACTGCATGATGCTAGGGAACAAATCGCTAACTTAATAAATATACCATTTTAGGAATGACAACGATGTGAATAAAAGCTTAACATAAAACTATATTTAAGACTCGAAAAATTGAAACCCATGTTTTTCGCCTCGCCAGTGGTGCAGGGGACTTTATTTTTGCCTTCTGTGTAGCCGCCTATAAGAGTTTTTGTGTTGAAGTCAGTTATTGTTCAAGTAAGTGAAGCTAGGGTCACAACTTGACCTTTATGAGTAGAACATGTTAATTAGGGCCCTGTATCAGAGATACGGGTGCCCTATAGTAATCAAGTCTGTCTGTCTGTCCGTCCACAAATTTTGTTCCTGGCTGATAACTTTGGTATTTATTTACCCATGTACATGAAACTTTGTCAGGATGTTCTGTTCACAAAAATACACTCAAAGGTCAAGGTTATTAGGTTCAAAGGTCAAGGTGAAATTTTGCATCTTTACTGATGAACATTTTGTTATGACATGATGAAGCAAAGTTGATCAGAATTAAACAAGGAGTCAACCCGACCAAATGTCAAGGTCATTGGGTCAAAGGTCGAGGTTAAATTTTGTATATTTTCACTGGTGAACATTTTGGTATGACACTTCGAAGCAATTTTGCTCAGAATCAAACGAGGAGTCAATTGACCAAAGGTGAAGGTCAAATTTTGTTATGACATTATGCAGTAATCTTGGACAGAATTAAGCAAGGAGTCAATTGACCAAAGGTCAAGGTCACAGTCAAATTTTCTATCTTTTCCCTGATGAACAGCAATGTTTGTGGGAATTAAACATTGAGTCATTTGACCTAAGGGCAAGGTCACTGGGTCAAAGGTCAAGGCCAAATTGTGTATCTTTTCACTGATGAACATTATGAAGCAAAGTTGGTCCAAATTTAAAAAGTAGTCAACTGTCTTAAGGTCAAGGTCATCTTATGTTATTATGTAGCAAACTAGTTCAATACTTAACACAGAGTCAAATATGGAGGTGGAAGGAAACAAGACTCGCATCATAGTACATGTAAAATGTATATTTTGCTTCCTTGCAATATTTTTTGAAGTCCAAATGGCAAACATCGAGCTCAGCTATATGGGCAGATTGCTTCTTGATGATTATAGGGGATATATTGCCACAAGACGGGGCCCTAACTGACCTGTCAGTGTTGTAGTTTACTCTTATCTTAAAAGATATGTCTTCCCATTTTTAGCTCACCTGCCCGAAATGCAGTCTGAAGCATGCTTAGAAAACATTCAAGAGTTGCCTCCCTTCCAGTGTTAAATCCCCCATTTGATCTCTTGTCTCATTCTTGCTACAACATTGTATTTTTTGAATCGTTTTGTACGACTGGGTCAAAACATACACGGCACACAGCTAATGTTACTGCTAAAGTGATAGACGGTAGAGCATCGGACTGGAGAGCCAAGGGTCTTGGGTTCGAGCCCCAGCAACGGCGCAATCTTTATCACTATTCCTCGTCCTACTACCAACTGGTGCTGTTGACCCTCCCTGTTCAAGGTAGGAGAACCCTTGGCGGAGAGTCCAAGAACCGGGGTTGGTGTTGAAAAAGGGGGAATAGTGTAAAATATGCGTATTGATTAGGTTGCCTTAAAAGCGTCAGCTGTAGGGAATTTCCCTTTAGCCCAGCGGTAGAGCCAAAGGTCGCGGATTCGAGCCCCAGCGACGGCACAATCTTTATCACTATTCCTCGTCCTACTACAAACTGGTGCTGTTGACCCTCCCTGTTCAAGGTAGGAGAACCCTTGGCGGAGAGTCCAAGAACCGGGGTTGGTGTTGAAAAAGGGGGAATAGTGTAAAATATGCGTATTGATTAGGTTGCCTTAAAAGCGTCAGCTGTAGGGAATTTCCCTTTAGCTCAGCGGTAGAGCCAAGGGTCGCATGTCGAGCCCAAGCGACGGCACTATCTTTATCACTTTTACTGGGAATAACTGCTTTTAAAGACGGATGTTTTAAAATGGGAATCTTTCCATATAGTTCCAGATGGTAATGTCTTGCTAAACATTCTGGTATCAATACATCCTCAAAATTTCAGAGGTTATGCTTACATTCTCTGTACCCCCTTAATATACAATTACAAAAAAACGACGACACGTAAAAAAAAAAGAAACCCTTCCCTAGACTGATGTCTGTTCTTTGTTTATAAGAGAGGATCAAAGCCGGTCAATTGTTACATTGTGGCGCGTTTGATGTACATCAAAGGACCAAACTAGTCTTGTATCGTCCACAAGGTGGTACGTAGAGAGAGTCTTTGATTGTGTCATGACATAGTTCACAGGTCAGGAGAGCATAACCCTTGGGGGTTCGATGATAGGACAAAAACTTTGTTACTTCTTAATGATTGGAATAACTGGACGTGCTTGGACATGTATTCTGCAGCTCATGAATTGCTGTACGTTGCATTACATGGTAACTGACTTATTGACGATGTACTGGATGAAATGTGTGATTATTTTGCATGAACATATATGTTCTCACTAAGTTTTGAAACAGAGGGTGGAATAGGAATAGCCGCTTGAATGTTATCAAGCCATGTTGGTGACCTATTCTGAAATAAATGACGGTTCAAATTCGATGTAGCAAGGCACACACTAGCCCTCACAGTGACACTATATAAGTTACTGACATTCAATGGCATACATTGTGGTAATATTACAAAGAGTAAGTATACTTTATATAAAATACCAAAATGATGAAGACATGCCCTAATTCGATAATAGTTTTAATATCGCACGGGGAAAAAAATCAAATGCTTAAAAAGTTAAACGTTGAGACCAATGAAAAATTTCGATTTTAAAATGTTGTTAATAATAATTAAAACATTGGTTGTGGATATTGTAATGTCATTGGGATATGAAAGCAATTCTGTAGCTTTTTAATAAACGTCCTCGATAGCTCACTTACGTTCTCTGTACGCTTGGAATATGCCATGACAAAATTGAAGGCTCAGTGTGCGTCACCTTGTTGATTAAACAAGAAGACTAGTTTGATCCTTTGGAGTACATCAAGATAATCTCGCGACAACGTAACGGTAAAATTGCCTGGCTTTGAAATCATGAGTCTTCTGTAATCGTTAAAGGGCATATGCATTATCAGCCTAACGATAGGTCAGTTTTTACCCGAGACAAATGATTTAATAGCTAGTACTACAGCTAAGAAATATGAGGGGGAAATACTGCCTTACTGGAAAGCTAGCTTTTTAGCCCACCATCAGCCTTTGGTGGGTCATTAAAATCGCCCTGCGTCCGTGGTCCGTCGTCCGTCCTTAAATAATTCTTGTTATCGGTATTTCTCAAGAAGTACCAGAGGGAGCTTTCTCAAATTTTATATGTAGGGTCCCCTTGGTCCTTAGCTGTGCAGGGCAATTTTTGAGACTGATCGGATAAACAACTTGGCCGACAGGCAGCCATCTTGGATTTTGATAGTGAAAGTTTGTTATCACTATTTTTCAAAAAGTACATGAGGGATCTTTCTCAAATTGTGTATGTAGGTTCCCCTTGGTCATTAGCTGTGCCGGGCAATTTTTGAGACTGATCGGATAAACAACATGGCCGACAGGCAGTCATCTCGGATTTGATAGTAAAAGTTTGTTATCGCTATTTCCCGGAAAGTACCAGAGGGATCTTCTCAAATTTTATATGTAGATTCCCCTTGGTCCTTAGCTGTGCAGCAGTGCCTGTAACGGACGGTGGCTTGCTCGCCAATGGCGGTTAAAGTCTTGCTGGAGTTATTAAAAGTTGTCAAAAGTGAGGTAGTCACTGGCCCAACAAAAATAGTTTGGGCGACTGTTGAAAAATTAATGAATAAAAGGAATTATAGTCCCTCCACATTAACTGGGGGGCAGTACATTTTCAGTTGTCACTACTACGATTTGAATCGAACTGTCTGTGATTAAACAAAATGTGATTTTATTTTCTGATTTTCTATATAAAATACTGCCAGGGTGTCTTCTTTGAGGTGCGAGTTTTGTGTATTTCTTTTTGGGAAGACCTGAATTGAGTGGATCATGTCAGGTTTTAACTAGGGTTAAAAATAAAATGTTTTATTCTGTTTTACATATTACAAACATTGTTATGTTATATGTAATTTAAATGTGCTATTTAAATTACATATAACATAACAATGTTTGTAATATGTAAAACAGAATAACACAGTGTTAAATGCTGTGAAAATATTTCTTCTTAAAATTATTTGGGCATGAGGGATATTTCTCAAATATGATATGTAGGTTCCCCTTGATCCCTCGTTGTGCATGTTATATTTTGAGACTGATCATAGAAACAAAATGGCTAAAGGAAGAACTAAACAGATCTTTCTCATATTGCAATGTTTGATTCTATTTCCTTCACATTAAGTACTGTACTAGTAAATATGTGATATGACAAACTCACTTTGAAGGTTGGCTTTCATACACATCAGTATTAAGTTTAGATCAAAAGTTACCTCAAGGTGCATTTACTGTTAACATGACTTGATCAAACAAATTAGAGGAAAGAAGAGAAGAGAAAAGATTAAACTGACAAAGAACTAATGAAGATGTTACAATGGTGGGCGCCAAGATCCCTCTGGGATCTCTTGTTCAGTGGTGCTATATAACCCAAGGACCCGTGCATGGTCAGTAGTTGGATGAATGACCGCCCGCACGTTACATTTGGTTGCAGCAGTGGGATTCCCCAGACCAAGTCTCGGGACGAGACTTGTCGGAGGGGGGAAAAGTGTAACAGTTAAGGAATATGAGGGGCAAATACTGCTTAGTGGTAAGCTAGCTTTTTCAGTGATACGGTATAACCCGGGGACCCATTCACTAGTGCAGTAACGTCGAGCGTGGTCAGTAGCTGGATGGGTGACCGCCCGCACGTTACAACAGTTATTCAGTTTTGCCATAACATATTCAAACGGCAGAGAGCGTATCTGTCGTTTTGAGGATGTTTGATTGCTTGCAATTTTGAAAGTCCAAGGGTTTCCGCTCTCGATACACGCAGATTATGTTGTGATAAAATCGAAGGCACGTGGTTACCTGTTTGATTAGTTTCGTGTAAAGAAAGGGACAAATCGCTAGGCTGATCCATGTCCTTTCTGGATTACTGAGGAGCTACATATGAGTCAAAGCCGGTTAATTTTACCGTTATGCTGCTGTGCAATTCTTTTGGTGTACAAACTTGATATACAACACCTTCAATTTTGCAATGACATAATATTGAAATCGGAAACCTTGTATTTCGACACGGACACAAGCACTCATACACAACACACATCGAGGCACGTCCTTAAATGACCTTATCTGTTGATGGGACGTTAAACAAAATGAAACCAAACCCTTAGAATTCGAAGATGGTTGCATGGCCTGTGTTTACCCACTTCATCTGTACGTTTAAATGTAGAACCATACGGCAGTACCGGCGGCTTAATATGACCAATACTTTACCATTATATTACATTTCAATAGAATGATGAGAAACAATGCTCCCTTTGATTAATGGCCGAGAACATTAAACAAATGGCACAAATACATTTTTAGCTCACCAGACACGAACTGCAGTCTGAAGCATGCTTAGGGACAAAAGAATCAATTTTGTATTTGGGGCAAATGGGTGGGGCCCATTAGGGGAAATAGAGAAAAACATTAAAGATCCTTCTCCTTCTGTTCCGTTGAAGGGATTTTAAACAAACTTGTTCGAGAGAATCTTTGGGCAAAGGGAATTTAATATTTATAAAAATAGAGGGGCAGAGGAGCGGGGCCCAATGGGGGAAATAGAGAAAAATATTTTCCCTTCTGTATGCATGAATTAAGGATTTAAACCAAATGTGGTCTGAAGTTTGCTTTGGAGAAAAAAACTCAATTTGTTTAATTTGTATAAAAAGGTGCATGTGAAGCCCAATAGGGGAAATAGAGGAAAATTGGGACATAACATGGAAACTCATTTTCTAGGTGTCTTTCCCACCAAAACATATTTATATGTAGTTTTTCTTGCAACTTTGTTTCTTGTACTCCTTTGATAAACCTGTATGGTGCTAAGCAGGTTTTAAATTGAAAAATTAAATACCAGTGAGCTATTAAGGCCCCTGGGCCTCTTGTTATATTATACTACCGCTCATAAGTTGTGTCTATTGTTCCATTGACCCATTTAACCGCATTTACACTCTTCTTAAACAATAAATTGGACAGTCTAGTATTTAAGTAACACTAATGGCACACTGAAAAAGTGGAACTCTTCTTTTTTTTTGCGCTGAGTAACGTATCGCGAATATATCCACACGCTTTCCCGAAAATATCCGTACGAGAATATTTATTTAATTCTTTACAGATAAAAAGAATATCTTGTATTTAAAACTATTGCTAACGCGAAAATTTACACACCGCGATACGGTTGAAGAATCGCAATGCGAACATTTACACATGTCGATTAGATTGAAGGATCGCAATGCGAACATTTTCACATTGTGAGCATATTGAAGGATCATAACACTAGCCTGTTCACATTGCGAGCATATTGAAGGATCACAAAGCGTACATTTCCACAGAGCGATTATATTGAAGGATCACAACGCAAACATTCCTACACCGCGATAAGATTGACGGAGCACAACGTGAATATTTTCACACCGCGATAAGATTGAAGGATCACAACACAGACATTCCTACACCGCGATAAGATTAAAGGATCACAACGCGAACATTTTCACATCGCAATTAGATTGAATGATCACAACGCAAACATTTCTACACCATGATCAGATTGAAGGATCACAACGCGAATATTTTCACATCTCGATTAGATTGAATGATCACAACGCGAACATTTCTACACCGTGATTAGATTGAAGGATCACAACGCAAACATTTCTACACCATAATCAGATTGGAGGATCACAACGCAAACATTTCTACACCATGATCAGATTGGAGGATCACAACGCGAACATTTTCACATCTTGATCAGATTGAAGGATCACAACGGAGCATGTCCAAACCTTGATCAGATTGAAGGACCACCATGCAAACATTTCAACACGCGAACATTTCCATTTTTACGGGATTTAAGTAGAGCATTCGTTAAGACAAAAGGGAGAAAGAACTTTCACTCTGTGGCATGTCGATTCTGTCCCTGAATAATTAACATATTAGAGATGATTGTTTGTGTTTTACGTCTTAACAGCTATGGTTATGTATGGCCGTGCCAGGTGATGGTGGCTGAGGAAAACCGGAGTACCCGGAGACATTTCTACTTCCGACCTGCGGTTAGTACTTGGCAACTGCCCCACATAGGCCTCAGGCGCGTAGCTAGCCCCTTTGCCGTGTGTAAGCCTGACATGGGGTTGCCGAAGCCGGCCCCCAGAAGCGCGAGCAGGGGGAGGGTACGGGAGGGGGTTTTCCCCCTCCCTTTAAGGCGTGTGTGGGGGTTCTCCCCTTTGTTTTCTAGAACGTCCTGATGTCTGTTTTTCTCGTTTTTAATCCGCAAGAAAAAAGTCCTATTTTTTGTATATATATATATACCTATTTACGTGGATCCAGTGTAATTCTGAAGATTAACCGTCGGTATTGCTTTGTACACCTTCCATACATACATTGTCTGGTTTTTACCTAATCTTAATAAATGCATTTGATACTTCTGCATTAGTGAACATGCAATTGGGTTTGTCTTTCTCATAATCTGATCCGAGTTAATTGGGAAGCGAGGTTACCCCTACTGTCACCTTTACTCAGTCTCCCATACAGTTTCGTCTTCTGTTTGTGCTTTGTGACTGGTTCCTTATACTTGCTCCTGTTATTTGTCGGGCACTTCCAGAAGCGAGGTTGCCCCCACTATCATCGTCATGCCATGCTTTGCAGTCTCCCACACCGTTTCGTCTTCTGGTTTCATAAACATTTTGTGGACATGGAAGAAAATTAAAGTTTAGTTTTATATACGTCCATTATAGAAGGTATTATTATGCGCAATCTGACAAAGTAAATACATACAAAGCACCGTGATTTTTAAAAAAAATCTGTTGTGTTGTAATTGGGCAGGCTCCAGAAGACAGTTTTCGTCATTTATTTAGATTCCAAAGTGTCCTTTCCTACGTTTGGCAGCAAGGATCTCCTCTATCGCAGCATCAATATCAATTGGCATATCTCGGTGAATATGGAGAATTGACAATGACGAAAGACGTTCCTGTCCCATTGTGCGACGTAGGTGCGTCTTCACTCTGCGGAGGGAACTGAATGAACGCTCTGCTGAACATGTGGAGACTGGCATGGTTACCAGTATTGCGAGCATCGTCCAGACACAAGGGTACAGCTCGCGGTTAGTTAGTGGAGGCGTTTCCTGTAAAGAAGCAGGTTTGATGGTGTTTGGAATGTTCCATCTCACAGTCCAATGCCTAATCTCCTCTTCAAATATCTCACGACCCTGAAGATAGAGAATAAATGCCGTGAATAGGCGGTCCTTGCAGACATGTGTGCACGAGATACTGGGCAAGGAATCTGTCCTGCGCCTCCCCACCAAGCAGTCTGCCGGTCAACTCTTGAACCAAATGGTCAGGGAAGGGTATTATGGGCATAGACGGTTGGACGTCAAATGTGTCTGCCAGATCTGATGTCTTTTGAAAACGAGCATCCCACACTGCCGGGTCCTCCCTCTCATGTTGCAACACATTAACAACAACCTCACTTTCCTTGGCAGCTTCCAAACGATTTATTAATTTTGTTGCTGGATGCAGATAATTTCCTCTGTAAGATAATGTAATCTCTATCTTTATAGCGTTGTTCTGGATTATTACCGAAAAAAACATTGATTGTCTGTGTCCACTGTGCCATACTCGGAGTCGTTTGCGCCGGGCGCGAGTTTCTCAATTTACTCAATCGAGCAGTTTAGTTCCGCCTGGAACTGTCCATTAATGCAATGGACATTTCTAAACTTCATACATTTTTGTACTAACTATTAACAATGTATCATATCTGAGAAATTACATATGTATACTATATATTCAAAACTTAAACTCCACATTATAGTATCAGCAAGAAAAAAACCGTCAGGAAAAAAAATACTTGTCAAAATCATGTGCAAGCACGGGCTTATTGGCTTACATGGTAGCTACGCGCGTGGGCCTCGTAGCCGCAACCCAGTGGCTGAGTATTAGAGATGATATAAAAACATGCAAATCAATACATAAAGGAAAAAAGTCAACTATTAATAGGTAATAATAATTTGTAATGGACTATTTATGTTGTGTGGATAACAAAATCGTATGGTTTTTTTCATTTGTACAAGTTATCATTGTTTGCTAATCTACTGATTTAATATCAATTGTTATAACAGTTCAAATATTCGATACAGAAGAGAAAGAAGAAACCGATGTATCCTGTCGAACATCATGTATAGTTAAGAATCCGTGTCACACAGCATTGTGGTTTTTCCTACATACAGTATTTATTACCTCCGATAAACTTCCGTTTTGATATATATGTTCAAAAGACTATTTTCTGAAAACGTTGAATCATATGAATCAACAAAATGATCAAGTGATATCAGTTACATTAAAGATACATTCAGCAATCGATACTTATAACATAGAATTGTTTGGATACAATTGAGATATGCATTGATCAGTGCAAAGTTCATTTGTCAACTTGTTGACATCGTTATCTTTTTTATAGATACCCACTAAGTAAATATCCAAATCCAAATATCCTGAGTCATCATGTATTTGTAAAATTTGAAGCTTTTGTTGTAAATAATGAATGAAAGACAATTTATCTCATCATTGGATAACCATGCTAGATGTTGGTAAACATGTTGGTTACCCACTAGTGTTTAACGACCTAGCCGTTATTTTACTGATCAATTTTAAGATAAGATAATAACGTCATTCATTAATAGATCTTTGTGCCGTCATTGTCAATGGTGACGTCATGATTCAAAGCAATAGTTTCAGAAATTGAAATAATGCATACATGTACATTATATATATATGTTTGAGAAACATGCTGTATTCTGTAAATGATACGAACGTTATGAGTGTAAAACCTACCCCAGACTTTTAATGGTTGATTATCATGTTTATATAACTCTAACTTGCTAATTTTCGAATTACATGATACACTCGGTAGCTTTTTTTAAGCGTTATGCAACTTAAATATTAACTTATTATTGCTATTTCGTCTTTGCGTATTGAAGTTATATCTTCTCTTGAGAGCAGGTATTGATTGTGACGTCATTGGTTCGTGTGAGAAAATTACGTCGTTTTCTCAAAAATTGATGACGTCACTCTCACAAACAAATGACGTAACAATCAATACCTGCTTTCAAGAGAAGATAACTCCAGAATACGCAAAGACGGAATACCACGGAGAACAATCTCCGCCTACTTTCGGTTTATAATGCCATTACAGCCCCTCGAGTTCTGATGGAAAATATCCACAGAAGCTATAAGATATAACTCTTTTTCCAGCTAATGAAAGTATTACCGCGAAGTCGGGCCACATCGTAGTTTGATAATCAGTACGATTAAAATTGAATGATGACTTCATACATTTTAATATATATACGAAAATTCAAAATTTAATGATGACTTCATACGCTTTTGATATATATATGAAAACTCAAAATTTAATGATGAGTTCATACGCTTTTGATATATATATGAAAACTAAAAAAATAATGATGACTTCATACATTTTAAATATATATATGAAAACTCAAAATTTAATGATGAATTCATAAACTTTTGATATATATATGAAGAGTCAAACCGTATTGATGGTTTCCTACATTTATAAAACATATGTACACACAAATTTAATGGTTGCTCGATCCATACAGTTATGATAAATAAGTAGAGTCTTAATTTAATGGTGACTTCATACATTTTTAAAACAAACGTATGGTCAAAATAATGTTAGCTTCATACAGATATATCACATATGAAGAGTAAGAATTGAATGGTGGCTTCATACAGTCATAATACATATGACGTGTCCAAATTTAAAAGTAGCTTCATACATATTTGATAGATATGTACAGTCTGTATTTAATGGTGGCTTCATACATTTATTATACATATGAAGTGTCCAAATTAAATTTTGGCTTTTTACATTTTTAATACATAAGTACAGTCAAACGTTACTGGTGGGTTCATATGGTTATATTACACATGCAGAAACGAAATTTAATGGTGGCTTCATACATTTATATACATATGTACAGTCAATATTTAATGGTGGCTTCATACATTTATATAATATGTACAGTCAATATTTAATGGTGGCATCATACATTTATATACATATGTACAGTCACTATTTAATGGTGGCATCATACATTTATATAATATGTACAGTCAATATTTAATGGTGGCTTCATACATTTATATACATATGTACAGTCACTATTTAATGGTGGCTTCATACATTTATATAATATGTACAGTCAATATTTAATGGTGGCATCATACATTTATATACATATGTACAGTCACTATTTAATGGTGGCATCATACATTTATATAATATGTACAGTCAATATTTAATGGTGGCTTCATACATTTATATACATATGTACAGTCACTATTTAATGGTGGCATCATACATTTATATAATATGTACAGTCACTATTTAATGGTAGCTTCATACATTTATATACATATGTACAGTCACTATTTAATGGTGGCATCATACATTTATATAATATGTACAGTCACTATTTAATGGTAGCTTCATACATTTATATACATATGTACAGTCACTATTTAATGATGGCATCATACATTTATATAATATGTACAGTCACTATTTAATGGTAGCTTCATACATTTATATAATATGTACAGTCAATATTTAATGGTAGCTTCATACTTTTATATACATATGTACAGTCACTATTTAATGGTAGCTTCATACATTTATATACATATGTACAGTCACTATTTAATGGTGGCATCATAAATTTATATAATATGTACAGTCAGAGTTTAATGATGGCGTCGTACAGTTAAAATACACATGGACAGTCAAAGTTTCTTCATATAGTTTTAATTCCTATGTACAATCAAAATTTAATGGTAGATTCATAAAGTGATTATGCAGATTTCGTGCTGCTTGAAATGTACATGTAAGGTCACTTCATAAAGTTATTATACATGTATACAGTTCAAATGTTATGGTGATTTCGTACTGCTGAAGTGTACACGTGAGGTCTCCATATAAAATTATAATGCATGTATGCACTCAAAAGAATATGGTGGTAAACTAAACATATAAGTTCCCAAACAATTGGTCTTTTAGAAAAAGAAATATTATATATATTTAATATCTACAGTATATGGTTGCTTCATTCGTTACAACGTATATTTACTTATAGTTTAATTTAATTATCCATGTTCAACTGTAGGCAAACACAAAATAATTCTACTGTGGGATTTTTGTTATATAATAATAATGATAATAATAATGATAATAAAAATAATTCGAGGTTCTTATATACCACTTTATCACAACCTAGTTCGTAGGTCGTCTCAAAGCGGTTCACACATTATTATCCGTGGTTATAGGGCCTTTGCAACCAGCCAATATCTTTCTCAATTCCCTCGGGGAGCATACAGCCGGTGCTGCCATTTTAGGCACTCACAGCTAGCATTCTACAATTCTAGCAATACCCATCCACGTACTCATTTACAGCTGAGTAGACTGGAACAAGCGGAGTAAAGTATCTTGTCCAAGGATACAACACAATGCCGTGACATGACTCGAGTCCGCAACCCTTCGGTTACGAGCCCGGCATCCTACCCCTAGACTACCGTGCCTCCAACATACATACAATGACCTACTTTTAATAATATTCAAAGTAATGATTGATAATTGGTATCCTTGTAGTAGAACTTGGAAGTGGAAACCACAGTTCACCAGGTAGCTCAGTTCGTAGGAACGACACCATTCTGATCTCAGGTCCCGGGTTCGAATTCCACTCTGACCCTGTTTAACTTTTTATTCAGACCAATTTTCTGTCGAATTTATTATTCATAATGTTTTTGGCAGCAAAAAAACACTCAGAAAATAGTTACAGTTCATAGATATTAGTTCGGGGGAGCTCTTAATGGTACTCCCCTACTTGTTGTAAACTAGAACGAAACTTAAGATTAGACCAAACACTACGGTTTCTGCAAAGAAAAACAGGGTAATGTCAATACAATTTGTGACATCCTTTTTGTCCGGTTCATCAATATCGTTAGCATTGATGCCTTGCTCTCCGTTTTCCTTTTTAAGCTCGATCGTACTGACATCAGAGGTACTTGGTACATTCTTAGACCCAAATTCAATACTATCAACATCAACGCTATTGCGAGTGATCGGCTTTCTGGTGTTTTTTCGGTTCTTCTTTACTTTTAAAACAAGTCGCCTGACGCATTTGGGAAAGTTAGTTACGTCTGTCACAGCGTCACAGCGAAGGGTGAATATCGTCAGGATTATAAGTAGACAGCTGAACAACATTGCCACCAGGAGAAAGTAGGAAATCCCTGCCATTGGCTCCGATACCTTTGGCATGTTGTCACCCACAAGTGTCATATAAACAGCCAGCGACAAGAACATAGTGATTGTGTAGGATATCCTTTCCCCTGACGCGGCCGGCAGGAGAAACACGAACGGGTTAAGGAAACAGAGTGTGTACACAGGTAAAATCATAGAAAGTAAAAAGTAAGTGGATTTCCGTGACAGAACCATGTTGTAAGCGAAAATTGAAACTTCATTACCAGGCATCAGATATTCTTCTGCCGAAGTTTCGTCCAAATTCCATTCCCCGTTTGGTCTAAAAAAGACCATATAGAAGCTTGCCGCTTCGGATGAAAGAATAATTTCACTTGTATAGTATCCCCATACCGCTATAAGTACAGAGCACTTTTGTGAGTCTGAAGGGAAATTCGTCATGTCTACTGAACAACTGGACGTAATCTTTCTTCCAGGACACACAGATACTTTACCATTGTTATAAATTCTAGAGCGAAATTGGTCTAGATTAAACATCTCCATATCTGAAGCAGAAGACATAAGAAATATGGAAGGTGTCCAAATCTTTGAGGAATTCACCACAAATTCAGTTATACCGCCATAGTTTGCCGGTTCCCATGACAACTGAAAGTCTGTCCAAAACATACACAATCCAGCAGTCAAGATTATTGTTCCAGAAACCTCGTCCACGTCCAGAATAGCTATGGGAAAGAACACGGTACCAATGGCTAACGTTTCATTCAAGTTTTCAACTGGTCTCATCTCTTTACTGTAGTTTGTGAATACGTTTTCCATCAATCTCTTACGATCTGTAAACGTACCGGAGGCTTCCACATAATATATGATTTTGTGACAAGCAATAAATGTCCCCAGAAATACGAAAAATTCATTAAATTTCATTTTGTCATTAGTGGTTTTTAAGAATTATTAAAAGTGCTGTAGTCAATTTATTTCTCTATAGTCTTCGGACTCCGGTCTCCAGTATTGTGAAAATGGTGTAAAGTCCAAACTAAGCGGTATGTTCTCTCAAAAAATCAAAGCAGACCTATATGGAGACCTGAAATTAGATGTAAAATATACATATTTTCAGTTATCTTTAACGAAATCCGGAACTATTCATATGCACCAATATCGCAACAATATTCAAACTAGGTGATATCATTTCAGATAATTCAGAAACAATGCTATCAACTTGTACTGGTTTTTAGATATTGAGTTACTATTTAACTACAGCGATACACCTTAAGTTAATACGGAAATTCGGTAATACATATTTTGTTAAAACTGATAATATAGGTTAACATACATGCCATAAACATTACAAAAATAAAGCATGCTATTTCCCAATTTATATGTGGATTAAGTATACTATGCTGAAACGATATTTATATATGTTTTTAATATCGCATATTCCCAGTTTAAATAAAAATGATAATAATAATTCGAGGTTCTAATATAGTTCGTAGGTCGTCTCAAAGCGGTTCACAAATTATTATCCGTGGTCATAGCGCCTTTGCAACCAGCCAATATCGTTCTCAACTCCCTGTGGAGCATACAGCCTGTGCTGCCATTTTGCCGCTTTACAGCTAACATTCTACAATTCTAGCACTGTCCAATCACGTACTCATTTACAGCTGAGTAGACTGGAACAAGCGGAGTAAAGCATATTGCTCAAAGATACAACACAGTGCCGTGCCGTGACTCGAACACGCAACCCTTCGGCCATGAGCCCAGCGTCCTTCCACTAGACTACAATGCCTCCTAAATGTTGATTATACCTTTTACATTAAAATTGTACGATTTGATTTTTAGATTGTTGTCAAAGTTCGATAGTATGTTGTAATATGTTACCAAAGGTCAAAGTAATGTACGGACATGTGATTACATTTATAAAATATCGTAATAGATACAACATGACATAAATAAAATACCCTGAACCATACAGCTGTTTCGTCCTTCTAGGTACAACGTGTACGTGACAGACACTGCTGGTGGATTTCTTAGTCCCCAAGGTTTGTCGTTACCTTTATAGCTCCAGTAATCTCTTTCGAGAATTGACATAACTCTTAACATACACATTTTACTAATCATTTTTCTTGAACTTTACCAGTATTTCTTTTAGATTCATGTAATTAGAGTTTTACGTACCTTCTCTTTAGTTTAAACATTTCTTTAAAGAAAAAAATGGATTTCCGTGCCCTTGACTCCCTAGCATCACTGATGAGTCTTAGAAGGACGAAAGGCTGTATGATGCAGTGCAAATCGTTTTTTTTTGTATACTGTACCCCCACACCCGTATTTTGTACTAACTATTAAAAGGTGTTTTCACCCATGTGTTCGATAGGTTCATCTTTCTATGACTCATTGGTGATGCTAGGGTCAAAAATGGTGAACATCCAAATTGTCCTAAACTACTGTTGATACAGAAGGAGGGGTGGGGGTGGGGGTTAGCGTAAGACCTCTTTATAGTATTTTTCAAAAGTTAGAGGAGTATTGGGTGACTTCAAATTGATGATGAGTAAAATATATATATTATAAACCATGCCACTACTCAATGTCGGCGAATATGGTTATCAAGGTTACGGTAAACTTCGATTCGGGCACTTAGAAATCCGGAAGCGGTCTACCAACCCTGTATCTCGTAAACTAGTTAAACCACTTACCTTGCTATAGCTGAGTTGCTGTTTTGAACACACACATACACCTTCTGTGCAAGTAACATATACAAAACTAAACGGTAAACCAGAGAGCCGAATTTATGGCCAATATCTTACCTTTATGTTAACAAACCGATATTCTAATTTCAGCTAATGGCATAGGCAAATGGGATATTGATGAACTCCATTGTTATACAAATACACATTTCAACAATAGATGCTACATGTATCAATAGGCAGGAAAACACGTCAGCGTTACTTTTGTCGACAAAACAAAAACATGTCACCAAAATGTGATTCTAAATGTTATCATCAGGTTGGTAAGTATGAATTGTAGAAAGATAATGTATCACAACCAGTAAGTGTTTATGTGTGACGTTTCGGTGACTAATACAATACGTACCCTGTAACCTTCATCAGACACATGACCATTGAAGCATGTAGACAAAACGAAAAAATGGGTTGAAGTGGGGGCAGCAGATCAGTTATGATTTCTTCAATGCGTTCTTTATATAAGACATGAAAGTAATCCCCAATTCCTCCAGAGCGCCCACGTACATCGTCTTTTATAATCTATTAATCTATTAATAAAATAAGGTGAACCAAATTTTTCAACGATGTTACAAAATGCGACTTTTATAGACAAGTGTTTATTAAAGTAAGAGTGAGATATTGGAATCCGTGGCCAGTCACTACTAAGTCTGCCTGTCGATATTTTACTGACTGATAATATTAGCTGTTATCTAAATACGTAAACGTTAACCATTGTTGACACTTTTCCCCCTCAAAGAACATTGATATATTTCTAATTGTCGATTTTTGATTATGCATATCCTTTCTGTACCGTAGTTTCGTGTGAAAATGTAATATTTATGACTCATATAACTATCAATGTCTCTTAAGGGAATTATTTTCATTTTCGATTCAGTCGACTGACATGTTTTGTTTATTGGACAATGTAGATGCGTGCGTTTGTCATACCAGTCGGTGATAACTAGAAATGGTTATAGATTTTTCATTGATATTAAAGGAATAGCTACATAGGTTCCACACAGTCAACAGTCACGTTCTCTAATTGAATACATAGACGTAATGGGTATATCACAACGAGGCTGACGAGTCTCTTACAATGAATGGCTATCACAAGGAAAAGGAATCCATTTTCCAATAACATTGAAATAATGTTTGTCTTATTTATTTATTTATTTGTAAAGCGTGTAGCGCCGAAATAGGTCAGACACCATTGTAAAGGACTATTTATAGATGTAACGCTATCAATGATTGGACTGTATATATATGTAACACCATCAATGATTAGACTATTTATAGGTGCAACATTATCAATGATTGGATTATTTGTAGATGCAACACCCCTGCCGGCACAATATATTAAAAAAGTAAACTTTGAATGAAAACAGATAAGAAATACAAAAAGTATTCTCCAAAAGTTCCTGTGTAGGGTAGGTCGCGCATGTTTTAGCAGTATTTTCAACAGCTCATCTATACACCTTGCTGTACTAAATTGATACCGATACCGGTCTCCCAGGACGTTTGTGTCAAGAAATATCGACAAAATTTAATATGATATTAGATTATTAATGCGATGCAATGCAGTATACCTGTATGGCTTGTCGTATTTCGGCGTTACTGTGATACGTTGAACCTCTCTTTGATGGACTCCCTTAAAGTCTCAGCCGTTTTCCTATCGTATTTGTGCTGCAATAAAATGCTAAATTTTCATAAATTAGATATTTAACTCATTAAAGTAAATAGCGCAGGGATGTCATGATACTTATGTAAGTAACGAAAATAAAACCATGTGTATGCATTATGTCAACAGCTCTTATCCCCAACCAACATTGTATTAGAAAACAAAGACAATTCGTTGTATAGCTTTACTTCGTATTCCAACGTAACAATTTGTAACCTTGTAGATGAATTTAGTTCTGGCATGGTATAAACGAAATTTCATTTCAACAAATTTTATTGACAAAGATGATACAAGTCAATTGGATGGAATAACAGGCAAAGCCTATATAAATTCTCTCCAGCGGTGGCTAAATTAATGGATTCTATTATTTTTATTTGATTAAGTTAATACATCAATTTTGAAATGAAAATTATAAAAAAAAAATATTAAAGGGATGTAACTCCTTCTTAATTAACATAACTGAAATACAAATACATTCACACTTCTCACATCACACACAAAACACTTCCACAGGTATTATTTATTTTTATAACATTTTACAATTGTATATAAGCTATATAGCTATCAAATCACACAGATATTGGCAGACATTGACCAAAAGTCCATGTGCAAATATATGCACAGGTCACAGTCGCCAAAACTGTTAAGGTATTGTAGTTTAATATGAAAATAGATAGCTAGTCTATGTGTAATTCAATGTATAAGATGGAAACTGTAAAACAAGACAGATTGAACAAATCTTACAACAAACAACAACAAACAAACATGCTCAACTTAAAACTCCTATGTCCGTAGAAGAATAACATTTATAGAAAAGTAGGTAAAGTTACTTATTTGTGGAGTATAAT